TGGAGGCTGGCTCAGGCTACCACAGGCTGTGAGGAACTAGGATTGCTAGCCAGCTCAGAGAACCCTGTGGGTGCAGAGGACTGGGCTCTGGGGTTTTTGGTGGGGGGCACTCCTGTGCTCTCAGAGGGTCTCACAGTCCTCACCTCCCCTGGAGTCTAGATGGCAGCTGTAAGCACTCTCAGGGCTTGGAGTCTGCCCAGGCCTTGCCGGTTCACGCGCAGGCCTGGGGTTCCCTAGGCAGGCATGTGGGGGGGCTGTGCTGACCTGGCGTCCACGGTGTAACCGGCCCTCCTCCCTTATGTGCTCAGTGAGTCCCGTTTTACCTCTGGACCCTCTGGGTCACCATGCAGTCCAGGAACAATGCGTCCTGAGAGTGTGTGTGTAGCTGAGACATGGTTAGAAGAGCTCAGGCTGGCCTGGAGCTCTTGGATATCCTCCTGCCTCAGTCTCTGGAGTACTGGGACTACAGGTGGACACCACCACATCTGACTCCGTTGTTTGTCTTCCCATGAAGTTCCGAATCCTCAAAGCTCCCCTTTTCACCTGGCCACTGTTCCGCCCACCCTCCTCAAGTCTCGAAGCTCCTCCGGGCTGCTCTTCCCAGCTACGACACTGCCATGTTCCATTTCTCTGCTTGGAGGCCATTATTATTTTATTTCTCTTCTTGTGTGTGACTTTTTACCTTTCCTTTGGATTCCACCTCACTTCCAGGAACACCCACACACCCATACCCACACCCACATCCTCCGAGGCTCAGCTAAGCTCAGGCTATGGAAAGGAGGCAAGGCCTTCCTTAGTCACAGGCCTGGCTTTGCCAGGCACCACTTGGGGAGCAGCCTTGCTCACGCAGGTGGAATGGCATCTGATTGTGTCCGATGTGGTAAGACCAGGTCTCAGACAGCCATCCTCGAGGCCTCTCCACTGCCGAATTTTCCAGGTGGGGAAATGTGTCCATGAGCCAGAGTTCAAGAGCCTGCAGTCCCCTTGGGAGGCTAAGGATTCAAGAAAGATCCTGTCTCAAGCCAACTTTCTGACTCTCCTGTACCCACCTCCTGAGTACTAGGACACAGTTATCTGCCACCACACCGTGTCTATGTGGTGTTGGAGGTCAAACCCAGGACCTTGTGCATGCTAGGCAAGCACTCGGCCAGCTGAGCTGCCCTCCAGCCCTGGCTTTTTCTTCAACCTTGGCACAAGAATCGCCTAAGCCAAAGTGACGTTCTGGTTTGGTCCCCTTTTCCCTTAGACCTGAGGACCAAATGTGTCCCCGAGCCTGGCCCCCTCTGGGCTTTGCTGATTGCACAGTATGGTGTCAGATGAGGCCTGTCCTCTTTATACCTGGAGGTGGCGAGTTAAAGACCAACAGTTGGGGTGGGGGTGGCGGAGGGGGTTGGGGAGGCAAGGGGCTTCCTGCCAGCCAATCGGAAATAACTGCCTAGGTTCTGGGCTCATATCATCTGCTCCTGCTAAGACAATCATCAACATAAAAGGCTAATTGTATTAATCACCAAGGCACCCATCCTGAGTCCCCCTCCCCTCCGAGAGAATTATGAATTGCCGGTGCAGATGGTCCCACTGATTGAAAGCAGTACTCAGCGGGAAGAAGGGCCAGATCAGATTACACACCATTAATTAAAAACTTCCCCTGACAAATGAGAACCAGGGGTGCACACCAAAGGCCTGCCTGGTGGCTCTCTGTCCTCCCCAGACCCCTTGTCCCCGACCAGCCCCGGGGACTGTGGTGGTGAAGCCTCCTTCTCCAACTGGAAGTGCCGAGGGCTGGAGTGCCCGAGGCCAGCTCTTCCCTTGTCTAAGCAGATGGCCTGCTGTCCTGGCGGAGCCTCCAGAGAGGCTGACCTTTGCTTACTTACTCCGTCCGACCTTGAGACGCGTCAGCTTTAACCTAATTACTGACTCCTCGTTTCTCGGGAAGGCTGTCTCTTGCTCTAGTCCTTCTCTACAGAAGGGCTGCTGAAGAACTCTCAGTGAAGATGGTCCCAGATTTCCGTCAAGCCACCCCCTTGCTCTTTCGGGTCCCTAAATTTGGGGATCTCTTCTACCACCGTGGCCAGCAGAGGAACAATCTGAGGGAGGCGAGAAGGCAGTTCAGGTAGACATGACGAAGTAGTCAGCGTTGATTCAAACTTCGGGAGGCTGGCGCCAAGGAGTTGATTTTCGGCACATTTAAGCACGGCACAATTGGGTGAAAATTTTCCTGGTGATAATTAACTCAACCCTGTGTGCACACTGGAGGTTAGGACATGACTACATTGACATTCTTGGTAAAGTACGTGTGATGGGTTCTGTAGATGGGCAAGTTCACGATAAGGGTGGGGGTGGGGGTCTGGTGTGGTCACACGGGCTGCACCGGCAGTGCCAAGGTCACCAGGCTGTCAATCACTTTCACTGGCAGCCCTCTGGGCAGATGACAGGTGAAGCATCCCTCCCTTTGGAGGAACAGACCTGTGTGTTTAACACCCCTGGCTCCCCTAGCGCTTATCCGTGTGCACGCGCACGCACGCACGCACGCACGCACGCACGCACGCACGCACGCATGCACGAGGACCTCCGAGCCTCCCACACTTGAGTTCTGGGATTGCCGGTGCCGCTCCAGAGTGGTGGGTGGAGACAGGAACTCTGGCTACCTCCCTCTCCCTGCGTGGAGGCAGAGGCTTCTCAGCTGCTGTCATTGTGGCTCATTTGGAGCTGCAAGTTCTGAGTTCTCCTCCTCTTGATCAATTACTGCCTCCTCTCCCTCCCCAGCCGCCCAGCTTCAGTCATTCATTCATCAAACTTTTATTGAGCACCCAGTGTGTGCTCGGCTCTCGGGGCACAGAGATAATTTGTCAAGAGGCTTAAAAGCCCACTGCGGGAGCTCCCTGCCACGACCCTCTCGGAGGCCCCGCCCTTCCCTCCAGTGCCTGCGGCTTGTCTGAGACCCCAGGGAGCTCTGGTTTAGGAAATTCTAAGCTGGGAGCTGGAGAGACCTTAGGGATCTTTGCGATAGAGTCAAGTGACCTTTGGCAAGACGATCATGTCCTCTGTTTGCACACTTGTACACAGGTGAACACACACACACACACACACACACACACACACACACACACGCACGCACGCACGCACGCACGCACGCACGCGCGCGCGCGCGCGCGCGCACCCCTGTTTATAAAAGGGCAGAAGAGGCCCTGGGGCTTCAAGATTGTGAAGAAGGCTGAAGAGGACTCAGCCTGGAGAGATGCGGACAGTGCTCGGCATCAATGAGATTGCAGAATGCAGAGGACAGATGCTGGGCCCCGGACTCCAGCCACTGCAGTGGTCACAGGTCTGTCCATCGCCCTGCCTGTGAAAGACTTTGGCAGCCCCTCCCTCATCCGGCTTATTGGAAGACAAGTGCTTATCACTTATCTCGATTTCTTTCTTTCTTTTTTCCTTTTCTTTCTTTCTTTCTTTTTTTTTTTTTTTTTAATAGATTTGGCTGCAGCATCTCAGGGTACCATGGTGATGGGTGCCATAGAGATGAGAACTGACTTGAATTGGCTTATCTCTTCTTTCCAGGGTCCCTCCCTAGCTCCACCCCCACAAAGCTCCGGGGTCAGTAGACCTCAGAGAGGAGGGGCAGGCCCCCGTAAGCCAACCGAGTGAAGGACAGCAGAGCCTGCTTTCTCTCCCTCCCTCTCCATCATCCCCCTCCCCTCTTCCTTCCCAGTACCAACGGCAAGTGTATTCAAACCCAATAATTACAGTAACTGCAACAATAATCATCATTTATTGGGGTTGTTCTACGAGCATTTAACTCCCCAAAGCATCTTCTAACTCATTGTTGCCACAGAACTATCTGTGGGAGGAGTGTTCCCATTTTACAGTGGATAGGCTGAAGTCCAGACAGGATCCCCACCACCCCACGGCCCCCCATTAGAGGCAGAGTAGACGTACAGCGGCCTTTAACATCTAGCAAAATCAATTCGACTCCCAGGGTCTTTTAGAGACACTAAACCTCTAATCTCGATTTCCTGGGTCATTCCGTGGTCTCGTCATTTAGGAGGACTTATTCAACAGCTTTTTGGGGGCCTCTGATGCTGAGCAGCAGACTGGAGAGGCTTCTGGCCCAGGTTACAGACTGGGCGCAGCAGGTAGAGGTTTTCCTGTGTCTTCACTGAGGGGTCCCAGGGGAAGGCCATCTGTTCCAGAGCTCCCTTCCTAACAATGCTGCTTTCCTAACCCCTGAGAAGGTTCCTCTGGGGCAGCTTGTCCCAGGGTAGGGACCTTCCTGAGCATTTGGGAAGTAAGAATGAAATCCTTTTAGAAGAATGATTTCTGTCCTCAGGAAACCCCAGTCTAACGGACCCCCAAATCATACCTAAAGCAAAGAAACCCTGTGAGAAACTGAGGCTGTCCCAAAGACTGGTGTTCCTCTCTTTGCCTCAGTGGGAAAGTTTGGGGGCTTCCTGAAGCTCCCTCATCAGGGTCCAAATAGAATGGCTAGCTGCGCCCCAATTCCCCTTTCCCTAAGACAGGGATCCGGAGGCCCGGGACACCACTGGGGTCCTGCCGCATGGCTTCTACGGCCCTCACTCTTGTCATAAAGAACT